TGCGAGTGCGTGCGTGCGTGCGTGCGTGAGTGAGCGAGTGAGTGAGTGAGTAGCGAAGTGAGTAGCGAAGTGAGTAGCGAAGTGAGTAGCGAAGTGAGTAGCGAAGTGTGTAGCGAAGTGAGTAGCGAAGTGAGTAGCGAAGTGAGTAGCGAAGTGAGTAGCGAAGTGAGTAGCGAAGTGAGTAGCAAAGTGAGTAGCGAAGTGAGTAGCGAAGTGAGTAGCGAAGTGAGTAGCGAAGTGAGTAGCGAAGTGAGTAGCGAAGTGAGTAGCGAAGTGAGTAGCGAAGTGCGTAGCGAAGTGCGTAGCGAAGTGAGTAGCGAAGTGCGTAGCGAAGTGCGTAGCGAAGTGCGTAGCGAAGTGCGTAGCGAAGACGAATGCGTAGCGAAGTGCGTAGCGAAGTGCGTAGCGAAGTGCGTAGCGAAGTGCGTAGCGAAGTGCGTAGCGAAGTGCGTAGCGAAGTGCGTAGCGAAGTGCGTAGCGAAGTGCGTAGCGAAGACGAATGCGTAGCGAAGTGCGTAGCGAAGTGCGTAGCGAAGCGCGTAGCGAAGTGCGTAGCGAAGTGCGTAGCGAAGTGCGTAGCGAAGTGAGTGTAGCGAAGTGAGTAGAGCGAAGTGAGTAGAGCGAAGTGAGTAGCGGAGTGAGTAGCGAAGTGAGTAGCGAAGTGAGTAGCGAAGTGAGTAGCGAAGTGAGTAGCGAAGTGAGTAGCGAAGTGAGTAGCGAAGCGAGTAGCGAAGCGAGTAGCGAAGCGAGTAGCGAAGCGAGTATAGCGAAGCGAGTAGCGAAGCGAGTAGCGAAGCGAGTAGCGAAGCGAGTAGCGAAGCGAGTACGAAGCGAGTAGCGAAGCGAGTAGCGAAGTGAGTAGCGAAGTGAGAGTAGCGAAGTGAGTAGCGAAGTGAGTAGCGAAGTGAGTAGCGAAGTGAGTGGCGAAGTGAGTAGCGAAGTGAGTAGCGAAGTGAGTAGCGAAGTGAGTAGCGAAGTGAGTAGCGAAGTGAGTAGCGAAGTGAGTAGCGAAGCGAGCGAAGTGGAGCGAAGTGGAGCGAAGTGGAGCGAAGTGGAGCGAAGTGGAGCGAAGTGGAGCGAAGTGGAGCGAAGTGAGCGAAGTGAGCGAAGTGAGCGAAGTGAGCGAAGTGAGCGAAGTGAGCGATGTGAGCGAAGTGAGCGAAGTGAGCGAAGTGAGCGAAGTGGAGCGAAGTGAGCGAAGTGAGCGAAGTGAGCGAAGTGAGCGAAGTGAGCGAAGTGAGCGAAGTGAGCGAAGTGAGCGAAGTGAGCGAAGTGAGCGAAGTGAGCGAAGTGAGCGAAGTGAGCGAAGTGAGCGAAGTGAGTGAAGTGAGCGAAGTGAGTGAAGTGAGTGAAGTGAGTGAAGTGAGTGAAGTGAGTGAAGTGAGTGAAGTGAGTGAAGTGAGTGAAGTGACTGAAGTGACTGAAGTGAGTGAAGTGAAGTGAAGTGAAGTGAAGTGAAGTGAAGTGAGTGAAGTGAAGTTGACGTGCGTGGCGTGCGTGCGTAGTGAGTGAGTGATGTGGGTGGGTGGGTGGGGTGCATGGGTGAGTGAGTGAGTGAGTTGGGTGGGTGGGTGAGTGAGTGAGTGAGTGGGTGAGTGAATGAGTGACTGAGTGACTGACTGACTGACTGACTGAGTGAGTGAGTGAGTGAGTGGGTGACTGAGTGAGTGACTGAGTGAGTGAGTGAGTGGGTGACTGAGTGAGTGACTGAGTGACTGAGTGACTGAGTGACTGAGTGACTGAGTGACTGAGTGACTGAGTGACTGAGTGACTGAGTGAGTGAGTGAGTGAGTGAGTGGGTAACATGTGTGTGTGAGGTGAGTGAGGAGGAGGACGGGCGAGGAGGAGGAGGAGTCGGATACAGAACTAAAAACAAAAACCCCACACGTCAATGTGGGGAATTAAATGTGGGGAAATATACAAATACGTACACTTAGACAAATACATATACATATACACAAAACATATACATATACATAGACAAATACATAGATATATGCACATACAGATACATATACAAATACAAACAACTATACACATACATACAGATAGACATATATATATGTGCATATAGAGATACAGATACATACACATACACATACACATACACATACACATACACATACATATACATATACCTACACACATACACATACAAATACATAGATATATACATAAACAAATACATTTACACGTACATATACATATACATGTACAAAGACGTATACACATTCATATATATATATATACAAAGACGTATACACATACACATACATATACTTATACATAGATACATACATGAACATGTACACATACAGATACATATACATATACATAGACATACACATTTACATATACAAAGACATATACATATACATACACGTATACGTATACGTATACACATACAGACCCATTTACATATACATATACGTATACACATACAGATACATATATATACATATAGATAGACATATACACATACAGATACATATGCATAGTCATATACATATACACATACATATACATATACATTGATATGTACATAAACATATACACACACAGATACACATACATAGACATAGAGACATATACACATACACATACATAAACACATACATACACATAAAAGCATTCATTTACATATACATACACCTATACACATACATGCACATAGACACATACATATACATATACGTATACATATACATATACATATACCTATACACATACAGATACATTTACATATCCATAGACAGATACACATACATATACATATACATAGATATAAACATAAACATATACACATACAGATACATATACATATACATAGATACACATACAGATACATAAACATATACGTAGACATATACATATCATATACATATCATATACATATACGTATACGCATCAATAAACATATACATATACTTATACATTTACATAGACATATACAAAGACATTTACATATCATATACATATACGTATACACATACGAATACATATACATATAGATAGACATATACACATACAGATACATATGCATAGTCATTTACACACACACATACATATACATATACATAGATATATACATAAACATATACACACAAATACACATACACAGACATAGACATATACACATGCACATACATAAACACATACATAGACATATTTATATACATATTAATATATAAAGACACTTACATATCATTTTACATATACGTAGACACATACAGTCTCATTTACATATACATATACGTATACACATACAGATACATATGCATAGTCATGTACACATACACATGCATATACATATACATAGACATATTCATATACATAGACATAGATATATACATTTTCTTACACACACATGTACATTTACATATTGCATGTTTTATTTATTTATGCATATACGTATGTGTGTATTTATATTTATATATCATCCATCTTCTCATCCCACATCTGCTGCATGACTTGCATGCGATGCGCGTGCGGTGCGTTCCAAAGTTGAGAAACGTCCTCAATTTCTCCACCCAGGGCGACTTGCCGTTGAGGGGCGGGGGTCAAAGCTTTCACGGAGTTGAAGACCTGAGAAAGTCAGAGGAACCCATAGCATCCATTAGCATCCTGGAATCTCAAAGTGTCCAGATCGTCACCACTATGTCACCACTGTGCATGTTTGCCTCACAGAACAACAAACACATTCCTATTGTCATCCTGCCATCAAAATATGCATCTTTACAAACTGTAGTCAAAGTTGGCAGTCAAGGGTTGTCTTGCTTGGCTCACAGACTGCAAGGACTGCACTGCCACCGGCAAAGACCATGCCACCCACCTGACATCCAAATGGACTCAGAAAGCTTGCCAACAACTTTGAAAGGTCCACGATATCCACGATGCTTTTCCAGAGATCCATCAGAAAAGGAGCTGGCGGAAAAACACAGGATTGTGAGGAGTGTGGTGCAAGGTCAGAAAAGACAGCAGAAACCTCCATGATTCGATTCTCCATTCCTATAGTGTCCGTGGGATGTCCGTGATCATACGGTGTTTTCGCTCTGTGACTGGGGCTCCTCACGACAAATTGTGGTCCTGTGGCGCTAAACAGCCCACGAAAGCTGAGGATGCCTCGAGCGTGAGGCGGCCAAGGAACAGACAGAGTCTGAAATATAAATCACGTCTTAACATATTTCTTAACTCTTGTGATACATCTTTCATCATCTATGTTTCATGAATTGATCAGATCTCATCAAGGCAGAGGACCCGTGTTTTCCTATCCCCGGCCCGCGCCTGCCATGAAGACGGCGATGGCACCAAGACCACAGGCAGATGCAGCTGCCAGGGCCCCAGCCAACAGACCCAGCAATGAGGAAAAGGCCCTGGCCGTTGCCGTCACAGCATGTCACAGCTAAGCAACTGGGTTTGGCAGGTTGCCTCGGGTTGACTCGGGTTGACTCGGGTTGACTCGGGTTGACTCGGGTTGACTCGGGTTGACTCGGGTTGACCAGCTTGAAGCTAGGCTTGTGGTGACCGTGGTGGTTGGTTTTAGCCGTTTTAGCCATTTGCCTTTGATATCTTTTGATCCATGCTCACAAAACCCTGCCTTTCAGTCGTTTCCAATCTTGGATGGATGGTCTTTCGCGTGAATATCTATCGTGGGTGAACAATCGTGAACATGTATGACATGCTTAAACAATAAAATCATATAAAATCAGGATATGTTCACTTCGAGATAAGAACTTTCAAAACTGCCAAAATCGACATCACCTCACTGTTTTCTTCAATGATGCGCGCCTAGCGAGGAAGAAGAGTAGCACCGCCCCAGGGCCCAGCCTAGCAGCGCAACATCTGACTGATACACACTGAGACAATGACAAGAAAAAGATGAAGCAAGCAAAGAAATTGCACAGTTCGTATATAGAAACAGAAGCTCCATACTCCACGAGTAAAAGATGTGCCGTGATGTGAGTGAGAGATTTTAAGATTCCATATGCTAAACATATATATATGTATTCAATACATTACCAAAGGTATTTCTTTTTTTTACATAATTTCATTTTGAATGGCAGCGGCTTCTGATTCTCTCAAAACGAGAACCCTTCGCTACGCATTCGGGAAAAAAACAAAAAAATGCCTGTGTGGAGAGTCATGTACTCTTGACATCCCCACCCCAAGGCTCAAACGCAGAGGTGGCCAGGAGCAATGTCGGCAGGAAAGGAATCAATTCGCACGTGCCTGGATGCCTTGGAAATCCAATGGCAAACTCTAATTTGTGCCTGGAAAAACCCTGCAAATCCACGTCAAAAACACCACAATGCACATGGCTTCCAATCTTGCTATGAAGATAGTGATTCATCTGCAAGTGCAAGGGCCAGGCACTTGCTTGGATATGGGTACTGATCCGACCCTGCCGGATCTTATACATACATGCATACATGCAAACATGCATGCAACCATACATCCAGACGTGCATACATGCATACATGCATACATGCATACGTGCATACATGCATACAAACATAATTCCATACATGCATATATCCATACATGCATACATGCATACATGCATAGATGCATAGATGCATGCATACATATTTGCAAACATGCATACATGCATACATGCATGGATGCATAGATGCATGGATGCATACATGCATACATGCATACATGCATGCATACATGCATACATACTTTACATTACATTACATTACATCACATCACATCACATTACATTACATCACATCACATTACATTACATACATACATACATACATTACATACATTACATACATTACATACATTACATACATTACATACATGGCATACATTACATACATTACATACATTACATACATTACACACATTACACACATTACATGCATTACATACATACGTACATACGAACGTACGTACATACATACATACATGCATGCATCCATACATCCATACATGCATACATACATGCATGCATACATGCACACATGCATACATGCACGCAACCATACATGCATCCATACATATATACAAACATGCAAACATGCAAACGTGCAAACATGCATACGCACATACATTCATACTTAAATGTCTACATGCATACATGCATACATGCATACATGCAAACATGCATACATGCATGCATACATACATACATTACATTACATTACATCACATCACATTACATTACATTACATTACATACATACATACGTTACATACATTACATACATTACATACATTACATACATTACATACATTACATACATTACATACATTACATACATTACATACATTACATCCATACATACATTACATACATTACATACATTACATACATTACATACATTACATACATTACATACATTACATACATTACATACATTACATACATACGTACATACGTACGTACATACATACATGCATGCGTGCATGCATACATGCATACATGCATACATGCATACATGCATACATGCATCCATGCATACATGCATGCATACATGCATACGTGCATAGGTGCATACATCCATACATCCATACATCCATACATGCATACATCCATACATCCACACATCCATACATGCATACAAACATGCATGCATACATGCACACATGCATACATGCATACATGCATGCAACCATACATGCATCCATACATATTTACAAACATGCAAACATGCAAACATGCATACGCACATGCATTTATACTTAAATGTCTACATGCATGCATGCACACGTACATACATGCATACATGCAAACATGCAAACGTACATCCATACGCGCATACATGCATACATACACAAATACATTCATGCATACATACATACATACGTGCATACATGCAGACATGCATACATACATCACATACATCACATACATACATACATACATGCATGCATACATACATGCATGCATGCATACATACATACATGACATGACATGACATGACATGATATGACATGACATGACATTACATTACGTTACATTGCAATACATACATGCATACATCCATACATCCTTACATCCTTACATCGATACATCGATACATCCATACATCCATACATCCATACATCCATACATCCATGCATCCATGCATCCATACATCCATACATACATACATACATACATACCCATGCAAAAGTGCAAACATGCATACATGCATACATGCATACATGCCATGCATGCATTCCATACATGCATGACATGCATACACTACATGTGCACATGCACATGCATACTACATGCATACATGCATACGTGCATACATGCATACATGCATCCATGCATCCATGCATCCATGCATGCATACATCTATGCTCCCATGCATCCATGCATCCATCCATTCATGCATACATACATAAATGCATGAGTAATGCAAAGATACATAGCTGTATAAATACAAAAATACATGAATACATAAATACGTAGATATATAAATATATATATATATATGTATTACTGTATATATGTGTGTAAGTATTTATATGTATGTATGTGTATGTGTGTGTGTGTCCAATGGATCCTGTTCCCACTGTACTCCGTTTCCGACTGTTGGGGTCTCGCGCAGAGGAGGATCTGGCACAGGCGTGGTCATCGCCCGCAACTCTTGTTGCCTGTGAGCGAGAACAGGATGGCACACTACAGCAGAGTCTTCGCTGTTGAAGCGGATTTTGCTGCGACTGCAGACTACATACTCCAAAATCTCCAAATCTCCAGAAATCTAAGAGGGATATGTTTTTACTATATAAATATCCTGAGTTTTGCGATCTGCCCCATGATCCCCAGAGGATCCGTACCGGATGGGATCCAATGTCGTCATGGTGGTAATGGTGGAGCTGGTGATCGTTCTCGTCTGAGTGAATGTCGTGGTGGTGATGCTGGTAAAGTTCCTCAGCAAACCAAAAATCAAAACAAAGAAGTCTTGGCAACTGCCAACTGCCAAAAAGTTGCCAAATGACCGATCACCTTCCTGAATTGATAATTAAAGGGCCGGATAACCCCACATGTTACCAACTTCTTTAGACTTAGACTGACCATAGAAAAGCAAGAAGGGAAGAGGAAGTATAAGAGTGATGGAGCGGTGATGGTGGGTGAGTTTGTGTGTATGTATGTATGTTCATGTACAGTGAGTGAGTGAGAGTGTGAGTGAGTGATGTGAGTGTGGTGTGTGTGAGTGGGGGATGTGAGAGTGAGTGAAGTGAGTGAAGTGAAGTGAAGTGAAGTGAAGTGAAGTGAAGTGAAGTGAAGTGAAGTGAAGTGAAGTGAGTGAGTGGGTGAGTGAGTGATTGGGTGGGTGAGTGAGTGAGTGAGTGAGTGAGTGAGTGTGTGAGTGTGTGAGTGACTGCCACGCCTGCCACGCAAAAGCGGCGGAGCCCCAAGGGACGCCAGGGCGTACATCCGACCCCTTGGCAGTGCACATTGTCCCACGCCTGCCACGCCAAAGCGGCGGAGCCCCAAGGGACGCCAGGGCGTATAGGGTTTTCACAATCGCTCATATATATCTACCATAAATCTGAACTGGGGCACCACATCCGGTCCCACGCCTCCCACGCAAAAGAGGCGGAGCCCCAAGGTACGCCAGGGCGTACATCCGACCCCTTGGCAGTGCACATTGTCCCACGCCTGCCACGCAAAAGCGGCGGAGCCCCAAGGGACGCCAGGGCGTACATCCGACCCCTTGGCAGTGCACATTGTCCCACGCCTGCCACGAAAAAGAGGCGGAGCCCCAAGGGACGCCAGGGCGTACATCCGACCCCTTGGCAGTGCACATTGTCCCACGCCTGCCACGCCAAAGCGGCGGAGCCCCAAGGGACGCCAAGGCGTACATCCGACCCCTTGGCAGTGCACATTGTCCCACGCCTGCCACGCCAAAGCGGCGGAGCCCCAAGGGACGCCAGGGCGTACATCCGACCCCTTGGCAGTGGCACATTGTCCCACGCCTGCCACTCAAAGAGGCGGAGCCCCAAGGGACGCCAGGGCGTACATCCGACCCCTTGGCAGTGCACATTGTCCCACGCCTGCCACGCCAAAGCGGCGGAGCCCCAAGGGACGCCAGGGCGTACATCCGACCCCTTGGCAGTGCACATTGTCCCACGCCTGCCACGCAAAAGCGGCGGAGCCCCAAGGGACGCCAGGGCGTACACCCGACCCCTTGGCAGCGCACACAGGGCGTACATCCTGCCACGCAAAAGAGGCGGAGCCCCAAGGGACGCCAGGGCGTACATCCGACCCCTTGGCAGTGCACATTGTCCCACGCCTGCCACGCAAAAGCAGCGGAGCCCCAAGGGACGCCAGGGCGTACATCCGACCCCTTGGCAGTGCACATTGTCCCACGCCTGCCACGCAAAAGACGCAGAGCCCCAAGGGACGCCAGGGCGTACACCGGACCCCTTGGCAGTGCAGATTGCCCCACGCCTGCCACGCAAAAGCGGCGGAGCCCCAAGGGACGCCAGGGCGTACACCGGACCCCTTGGCAGTGC